GCTTTTACGTGTTTAAGGATAAGTTTTCTTGTGTTAAATAGGCTTTAACAAACACCACTAAAGCAACAACAACAACAAAAAAATTAGGACCAGAATCCAAAAATACATGGGAGGTTAAGTGCTGTTAGTTTCCAATAGATAAGAAATCCAGTCTCTTGCAAGCCAGGGCCTATGGGTGCAATCATTCCAAGCAGTAAGACAGAAATTAGTTTGTTCTTATCGAGAACTCTGCAGGACAGGAAAACAAAGAACTTCAAGAGTAGATACCAATGCGCTTGCATTAGAACTGGTCAGCTGGAGTGCTGCACTCCCTTGGCTAACAGTGAGAATCAGTCTGCGCTACCGTGGTGAGCAAATGGACTCCCACAGAATGTGTAGGCAGCAGGAGCCAATGAAAGGACCATCACGAGGGTGACACCATTCCAATAGCCTACTGTGCATTTTGAATTCGGCAACTTTGGTGGAGAGAAAAAACAGACACGGCACATAACGTGAGCTCTGAAGCCAGACTCCGGGGTTTGATTTCTAGTTCTACCTCTTAGAAGCTGCTCTAACTCTTGGCCAAGTGACTTGGTTCTTTCCTCAGTTCACTCATCTTAAAATGAGTGACAGCATTTCCTATCTCATATGGAATGGTGAGGATTATATGCATGAATATATCAAAAGAGCTTGTAATGCCCACTGTATGAATTATTAATGACATATTGGTTCTTATTCCAACCACTTACACCGACCACCAACTACACTTCCTTTCTGACCTCCCCATTGTTTCCTGACCGGCACAGTGGATGATTTGTGCAGCTTTCCCACACCAGGCATGCATTCCTGTCAGCAAATCAAGTACAATCACTTCTCCAGGGAGTGACCTACTGAGGAATGGCTGGTGATTCACTGTGGCTGAGGAAAAGCAATTTTCTAAAAAGATTATATTTGTTTGTGTGTGCACATGTGTGTGTGCATGCCATGAAGGATCACTGTGGCACTCTGTTCTCTCCTTCACCCACTGAGTCTCTAACTCACGTTGCCAGGCTTGTTGGTAAGCACCTGTCTCACCGAGCCATCTTGTCAGACCGTAATACAACTTCCTTGAAATGGCAGTGTTCAGGAGAGCTACTTCCCAAAAGAAGTGCACCGGAAGATACTCGTTTCATTTCAAATGGCAGTTTTCTAACTGTAGCAGCAGAGCCCCTGTGACAGGAGTGTGGAGATCAAATAATGACGGCATTGCTCAACCGAAACACAGCCATTCCCATGTCCCCACACCCTGGCTTGTTGAAATGAAGCTTCCTTACTGCTTAAGCCATTTTTAGTAGGATGTTTTGTTACTGACTTCAAAGTACTGTAACTGACAGGAAGTTCTTAAGTGTCTGCTGTGCTTGAGTTACTTTACAGGAAGCATGAACTAAATACAGTTGTGAACTGGATTCTCAATAAGTTTTTGAAATACTTCAGGGAGACAAACTATGAAAACTCAAACTATAAATAGCAGGCACCAACTATTAAGGGCTTGGATTAAAGATAAACTGACAAGACAATATAGGAGGTCATAAATGAGGAGTGGCCTCATATGTGAACTATATGATGAACTATATGATGACGAACTATACGATGAACTATATAATGAACTATATGACAAACTACATGAACTATACGATGAACTATATGATGAACTATATGACAAACGACATGAACTATATGATGAACTATATGACAAACTATATGAACTATACGATGAACTATATGATGAACTATATGACAAACGACATGAACTATATGATGAACTATATGACAAACGACATGAACTATACGATGAACTATATGACAAACTATATGAACTATACGATGAACTATATAATGAACTATATGACAAACGACATGAACTATATGATGAACTATATGACAAACGACATGAACTATACGATGAACTACATGATGAACTATATGATGAAAGCTATAGATGGGCAGAGGAGAGAAGCACAGGGGAGTGAAGGAAGTCCCAAGTGAATTGTGCTGTTGACACAGGCATGTCCATGTAAAGGACCCCAGAGCCTCAGTACCTTGGAGGGATGGCAAAACCTCCCTGCCATCTGGGAGGCTCAGAAGGAAATGGCAGTGCCTTTCTTGAGGAACCAAGTGTGAGTGTTGGCAGTGTGTACAGAAAATGTCCACCATAGCTTCTTCCCCTCCCCAGACAGTTATGGCCTGAAGACTGCTCCACAACAGAGATCACTCCTACAGAGAAGAGCTAAGCCTGTTCCCTTGATCTGGCTGTCGACTATAACCCTGTCATTGTTCAACTCTATATACTCAACACTCTGAGCTTCTGGGTGCTGAGGCTTTCCCAGCCGAGAGCCCAGACCACCTGACCCAGCTTCTCCATCTGACATCTTTTTTCATTCATTCACCGCCTCAGTTAGATTCAAGTCCCAGGAGCCATGCTGGATGCAGAAGAGAGGGAATGTTCTAGGCAGGGGAAACTCTAAATGAGGGAGAGGGGATTCAGGCTGTATTCATTTCTAGGGTCAACAGTGTGAAAACAGCGTATATGGGGTGACTGAAAACAACAGAAATCCATCTTTCAAAATCGTGGTCTACAGTATCGCTGCTGTCTATTCTGTGCTGGGGCCGCTTGTTCACAGATGGATGCCTATTGCTGTGCTCTTACATCCCTGGTGTCTCTCGAGGAAGACGGATCAGAGCCTGCCTTAATGACTTTATCTGACTTTACCAATCTTCTAAAGGCCCTTTCTACAAACACAAAATTTGAGAAATTGGGGACTAGAGATTTAACACATCAATCTTGAAGGATACAATTCAGTTCAAAACAGGGACCAAAAAAAGATATGTAAGAGTTAGAGATTATTGAGAGATGAAATTAGGATTTGAATTGTTGGCCTAGATTTTGTTGTGAGGTATCTATTGGAGAAGGCCACTTAGCTGTGGGTTCAAGTCAATAGAAAGCCTTTATTAGCTGGCTGGTGACTACACTGGATGTTTGGGACCTGAGTACAGTCTCAGGGTGAGCTTTTAAGCACAAATCCAAATCCTAGATTGACATACTAAGTCATCAAGAACAGTTAGCCAAAAGTGGACTACAGAAGCCAGAAAGCAAGGTCAGTACACTGAGGGACTCTTCCAGAACCATGAACTGTGGTGGATGAGGTCTGCAATTCAGGCAGGTGCTGCTCCTGTGTGCTGGGTTGGTACTAAGGCTGGAGTGGTACTTCCACCACACTGTCAGTGGTGCTAAGGTCTGGGGCTGTTACAGTTTCACTCCTGCAGCAGCAAAGGGGGCAATGTAGATACTCAAGAATTGTTTGTCAGCAGTGTGGTACAAGGCTCAGCAACAGCAAGCAAAACTGGTTAGAACTGCTGCTGTATAAATAGTCTACACTGGTGCTGATGAGGGCTGAAGTGGAGGGAATGGAGGGCTCAGGTCAACGCATCATAAAAACATTTCAAGAGCCATGTTTATTGCATCACTGTACACAATAGCAGGTGCCCAACGGCAGAAGAATGGATAAAGAAAATGTATATAGCCACGATGAAAGTGTTTTCAGCTATAAAGAGCAAAGTTATGCCAATCACAGGTAAATGGAAGTAACTGAAAATAAGGAAATTAAGTTAGTCTCAAAAAGACAAATATGTCTCCTCTCATGAATAGTTCCTATATTTTAAATAGGTAAATAATGTTATGTATATATGAAAGGGGAGGCAAGACTCTCCAGGAAAAAGGGGGATTAATGGGAGAGGGGAAGAGGGAAAAAGAGGAAAGAGGCATATGAAAGGTAGCATACTTAATTTGAATCATATTCTTATATGAAAATACCCTATACAATACAGTACTATGTGCAATGAATACACACAGTGAATTATTAATAGCAGTCTTACAGAAAGAGCACAAAGATCAAGTAGATTGGATCACTGGACAGTCTTCAGGGTACTGTGTATGGCTGAGGGTCAGAAGCTTACGCGTTTCACTGAGAACCCAGAACAGACAGAACAGCTTGTAAATACCCTACCCTGCCCTGCGGTCTCTCAGAAGAGTCACGCAGAGCAGCTCTTGCCAGCCCTGGGTGCAACAGATCCTTCCTGTTCCAAGCTGCCCATATATGTATCCCCAACAGCTCAGAGTCAGTTCTCAACTGCATAATATAAAGATGTTTTCTAAATGTTCTATGCATTTGAAGAAAGACATCCAAAGCCTATACCATATTTCCACAAACATGTTCTATGCATTTGAAGTTAGACATCCAAAGCCTATACCATATTTCCCCAAACATGTTCTGCTCATGAAAAATGTTGAACAATTATTTTATATGTATTGGTGTTTTGTCTACATGCATGCCTGTGCAATGCATGCCCAGTGCCCACAGAAGCCAGAGAGCACTGGATCTCCTGGAACTGGAGCTGGAGAGAAGGCTGTGAGCTGCCACATTGGTACTGGGATTCTGCTGAACCATCTCTCCAGCCTTCTAGTGATTTTTATAGCAATTTCCACTTTTCTACATGAGAGAGAAGCAATTGTATAAGAATGTCAGGCCAAAGCTTATTGGGAGCCAGAGAGAATAAAGGATGAGAATAATTTGGTTACCAAAATAGTAAGGAGTTTGGGGAAACTGATAAAGCTCTTGAGTTCTTCCAAATGCTCATGGCAGTGTAGACGTCAAAGGTGCATCCTTCAGAGACAGTCAGCCCCAGTCAGCACTGGTCAGTTCTGTTCTAAGATTTAGCACTGCCTATACTAATCTTATATAGAACTTAAATTTCCTTCATAATTATATATATATTTTTTGATCTAGAGTTCAGAGTAACTGGGGAAAACAACCCAGGGTCTCTTAGGGGATAATTACCTGTGAACCACTTTTACAAGTATCTTCACTTCCCTCACAAGAACTGTTACTCACGCAGAGGCAGAAGTGCCGAATGCAAAGTTAGTTTTAAGTTTCTGTCAATAAAACTAAAGCAAGAGACTCACCAGTCTTCTTCAGGAATGCCTTTATTTCACTGGCACGAAAGCACTAGCCTGGCCTAGCAGTTTTCTTAACACAGTGAATACACAGCTCCCGCCACACAAGATGGGATGGCTGGCTGCTGATTAGAAGAACAATACGAAATAGGCTACCAAGAACCCAGGTTTCAGAATGGTAGCGTCTTACATTCCACATAGAACTTCCAATGCTGCTCCATTACATGGCTTGGCAGAAGCTCTTGGTCGCTGATTGCAAGTATTTCTTTTATCTGTAGATAATGAGGGAAACTTTGCACTGACTTTCCGGAAGTGCCTGTTAAAACAGGAATCAGAATTAAAACCAGCCTTTCTAGAATCCAGTCAGTCCATACCCGAACATAGTTAATAAGTTTTCTGACCAGGACATTCATCATTCCACTTTCTATACCTGAGACAAACCTATGGGAGGGAGGAAAAGAGGGAGGGAGGAAAGGAGCATGCACTGGTGGGATCAGGGAGAGGAGGGTAAGGAGGAGGAGAGAGCTGTTTGCAGTCTGAAATTATAGCAAAAAAAGCATGAAGGAAACTTTGGAGGGTAGCTGAATAAGGCTTCCTGGCCCTCAATTTCCAATAAGTTGTGAATAAAACAGATGTGAAGACTAAATGAAACTTTGCATATATACTTGTTACTTGGCAGATGACAAACAAAAAATAACTGTTGCCATTATAATGATCACTATTGATTACTGATTAATTAGGCTGTTTCAGAATAGAAGACAGATGACCAATGTTCTAGTCCTTCATCCACCATATATGTGGAGCGTGGTCTCAAGGCAATGATACCACTTCTATAGCTCTTTGATAAGGAAGAGGGTTCTTTTGCCTCTGCCTCTTGAAAGGGTGAAAGATGTTAAACTGGTTGCTCCAATTTCCAGTAGTCTCCGAGTTTGGTTATTTGAGTCACTTATCAATTTCAAATCAAATTCCAAATCAAACAACCCAAAACAAAATAAAGCAAAATAAATGACGGAAAAAATTAAACAAAATAAAAACTAAGGTAGACAGCAACTGAAGCATATAAGATATCTATGACGATGCCTATTTTCTTCTCCATACCCTTATGGACACTGCATAGTATGAATTTTTAAAAGCTATCTCACTCTGGTTATACAAAATAAAATTACTGTTTTCATTGATACCTTCCTGTGGCTAGCATGAGCATCCTTCACACGGATTTAGTGCCCTTTAAAATCTGTAGACCTAGGAAGGTGCCTGCTAAAGTTTCTGTTGGCAGTGGCTGAGGAGATAGCAAACCAGAGTATGTCAGGAATTTAATCTGTATATGGATCAAATTTCTGCTTTAAAACTGTATTCTCTGCTCACTGGGCATGAGTACAATGCTTAGTTAAATCTGGTGTCTCAAGAGGGAGAAACTTGTTGCATGTCTGCTAACAAGAGACTTGCTGCAGCTCTATATACAAGAACAGTTCCAGAGACTCTGTCTCGTGCTCTCATTCTATGGGCACTAAAATAAAGGGGGTTTTATTTGTTTATTTTGGGATGAGATCTCATTATACTGCTCAGGCTGGTCTTGAACTTATGGGAGAAACAGGGATCTATTGGCACACCAAACTTGGGGATTCCTGTATGTGGCTTTAAAGGGGCAGAGCAGCAAGGCCCCAGCTGAAAGAGCACATACTGATGCCGATGCACAATACCCTACGACCTCAGGCCAAGACTCCTTTATTGACTCAAGCTCTTTACAACTGGCCCAACTCTTAATTATAACATCCTTTAAAAAACCCAGTGTTCAGACAGGCCCACTGCTTCAATTTCCAGTGTAAGGTTTTTTGTAATATGTGAAATTAGCCAACATAATTTGCTGTGTCTAAACTAGTATTTTCTCTGTTTACAGTGTTGTGGTTTGGACATGAAATGTTCTCCACAGGCTCTTATTTTGAATAGTTGGTCACTAGCTGACAGTGCTAATTTGGGAGGTCATGGAAACTTGAGTGGGTAGAGCCCTGGTGATGAAGTAGTTCACTGAAGGAAGGTCCTGGAGCACATGTTACCCCTGGCTACCTCCTCTCCTGCTTTCTGATTCCTGGTCAGCTATGAAGGGGACATTTTGAAACCATCGTGTCTTTCTAAAGCACATGGAACTAAGCAACCATGGACTTTGAAACTATGAGTGGAAAGAAAGCTCGCTCCTCCCCAGCTGTTTCTTCCAGGCATTTCACTTCAGTGACATTAAAAGTGAAAGGTGTATTTTGCTACCTTAAGAACCCTTTTGGCAGAAACTATTGGTTCGTTCCTTTTTGGCTTTTTCTTCCGCCAGCTGAAAGAATGCTGGCTAATACGTTATATGGGAAACTTTCCTGGCAGCTATGTGTGGAATTTGATTAAATCCTGGCCGATGAAGTGTATGCCATAGTTCTGGGTTAGACTTTTGGCACAGTTCCTTAAGGCTGCCTCCTAATGTCTAGAGTTCAGATGTGATGGCTCCAGTTGAGCTAAGAACATAGTAAAGACGACAGAGCAGAAATGGTGACTGTGTTGCCATTATTCTTGCTGTACATTGCCAATATACAAACTTCCCTCTGACAGAACTGTATATATTTTGTGTGTGTGGTGGGGGGCAGGGCATGCAGAAGCCACAGAGCACACATGGGGACCATTTCTGGGAGTTAGCTCTCTCCTTCTACCCTGTGGGTGTCAGAGATTGAACTCAACTAGTCAGGCTTAGCAGAAAGTACTATCTGGTGAGCCATCACACCAACCAAAAAAAAATTCCCCTGCCCACTGCCAGTTATATTTTTTCTTTTCCGAAAAAACAATGCATATGTAGTTTTGAATGCCTATTTTGAAACAGTCTTTTGAAAAGTAAGTAGTCAGAAACACAGTTCCAGAATTAAGATTTCTTCTGGGACTCCAGTTCGGGCTTGTTCCTATCCTAACACCTGCTGTTTTCTGGGATTTTGTTGCTGAGTTTTCAGCTTTAAAAAAACCTTTTTATGGAAAAAAGTTTCATACAGTATTTTGGTCATGTTTACCCCTTTCCTAATTCCTTCCATGTCTTCCTCAACTCTCTAATCACCCAAATTTATGTTCTTTTTTCTCTTTAGAAAAAAAAAGAACAAAAACAAAATGACAAAGCCCCAAGAAACACACACAATCCCTGCAAACCACACAAATGAAGATAAACATAAACAAAAAAGTGTTCAAACAGAGAAAAATGAAACAAAAAGTCCACAAAAATAAGACTGAGTTCATTTTGTATTGGCACAAAAAAGTGTTCAAACAGAGAAAAATGAAACAAAAAGTCCACAAAAATAAGACTGAGTTCATTTTGTATTGGCCAACTACTCCTGAGCATGGGTCTGCCCTGAAGTGGTTAACTACTCAGTGAGACTCCATCGGTAAAAAAGGTAAAAAGCACCCCATCTGGTGGAAGTCCACGTCTGCTTCCCCCTCTCAGTGCTGGGACCCGTCTGGTGGAAGTCCACATCCACTTCTCCTCAGTGCTGGGACTCCGTCTGGCTTGAACCTGTATGGGTCCCGTGAGTGAGGTGCTGCCATAGTCTCTGTGAGACCGAGTGCTCCCAAGTTTCTCACTCTCTGCACATTATCTAGTGATGGATCTCTGTGTCAGCTCCTATCTCCTGAAAGAAGGTTCTCTGACGAGGGCCAAGAGAAGCACTGGTTTATGAATATAGGATATGATGTCAGGAGTAATTTTATCACCATATTCCTTTAGCAGAATAATATTTTGGGTTTCCTCTAGGTCCATGACCTACCTAGTCTCATGTCCATGGTCACGTTAGCACTGTCAGGTATAGGTTCCACCTCATCAAGTGGGCCTTAAATCCAACCAGAAAGTTGTTGGTAGCGCCCATACTATTACACCAGTTTATCTTGCAAGCAGGTCACTGTTGCAGGTTGCAGGGACTGTAGCTGGGAGACACTGTTAATTACTTTTCTCCTCTGGCAATGTGCAGAGTACCTTCCAGGATCATGAATGCTAGTCAACAGGGCTGAGGTTTCTAGTCAGGGACCGCATCAACTTTATCGTGTTCTGCACATCGTTTAGTTTCAGGTCTTTGTGTTAGCTTTCATCTATGGCTAGAAGCTTCTCTGATGAGGGCTGAGGAAGGTTCTGATCTAGGAGTATAGCAGCCTTACTATGCTTGGGGGTTTCCATGGATATCCTATGTTTGACTCAAGATATAACCCATTATTAAATAAAAAAGAAAACACTCCCTTCTTATCTTATGTCTGTGCGAGGGACAAATTATCAAGAAGTGTTAGTGAAGGATTAAAGAAGAAATTCTGTCTCTGAGAGAATTTTTGTGAATAAAGAGAGGAAGTTAGGACCCTGAGAAGGGATTCAATCCCTTCTTGAGTCAGATGTTGAATATTTTTGTAGTGATGACCACAACATTTGCACTGATAGCTGAATTGAGGCAATCATTTAGTTGATAGGTAGAAACACCTTGTCCTTTAATTTTCATTGTTACTGAGCTATAATTCTTAACAGGACTGTTGCCGTCTGAGGCCTATAAACAAACAGTAGCACATGCAAGTGAACGCTTAAAACTCTTGTCATGCTCCCTTTCCAACAAGGACTGTGCAGGCAAGGGCCTGTTACGTCCATGAATGGGGTGGGGAGAAATAAATCTTCCTCAGGGAACAGTACCAGATGCTATCTATTCCACAAGTATATTCAAACTGAATTGCTAGGTTCACTAACTAGGCAAAATAATATAAAGGCAACTTTCATGTTAACTAGTTACCAGAATTAGTAAGTACTTCAGCAGATACGCTAATTTGGTTAGGTTAATGTAATTTTTATTTTTGGCTTTTTCCCCACATGTTTTAATTTTTTTCACTTAATAGAACAAAAATAAAAATAATCAGATTTTTTTTCCCACCTCAGCTTACCTCTGAAATCTCACTAATCTATCAGTCCTTTTCAATTAACCTAGTTTACCTCTCTAGTTCTTAGACTTATTATCTGTATAGCAGGCCCCAAGTTCATATTTGCATAGGGTGAAGTTTAACTCAGACTTCCAGGACTTGGTCTTATGAGCTAAGCACTACACTGCATTAGGATTTTGGAATGAAACTTGACTTAGTCTGGTTCTAAATGGAAAACACTGTATTAGACCTACAGATGTATTTCATTCTAATGAGCTCTATTTACTCCCAGCACTTTTGATATTTTGACTTTTGTTATTTTTCCCTCATATCAACTGACCAACTGTCTGACAGCAACTCGATAGCTCTTGTAGTTTGACTCTTGAACATCTTCCACAGGCCTCTATGTTGACAGTTCGACTCTGCGTAATGGTGTTGAGAGGTGGTGGTGAAACCTCTGAAAAGTGGGGCCTACCTAAAAGTAAGGTTCCTAGGATACTGAAGACATGCCCCTGGATCCAGCAGGACCATACCTCCTCTCTCTTTTGCTTCTTGGCCAAGCTAGCCATGAGGTAAAAGGGGTTACCCCATGTTCCTGCTATAGCATAACTACCTTTTCACAGGCCTAAAGTAACTGGTTAAATCACTGGCCACTAGTGGTTAACTCAATATTAGCTCTTCTCTTTCATAAAGCCCGAAGATAGAGTTGAAGGCTCTAAGTTTCCAATCAAAGCTTGGTCTCTCTGAAGATCAGCTCCCCTCTTGAAGCTATCCAGGAACCAGTCACGATCCATCTCAGAAAAAGACATTACCATCATCCTTTTCATTTGGGAAATTCCAAAGGCTTAAGGAGTTCTGCACCAGGAACCAGAGACAAACCAAATTCTCCCATGACAAATGTAATTTCTATCACTGACAAATGATCAACAATTATTTCAACAGGTCGCAGGATGCTTGGTGTTCACTGTGAACTTGACAGGATAAAGAGAGAGATTGGAGTAATTGATTTGAAATGTAAATTGTTTAGGTTTTTGTCCATTTGATCAAATAGAAAAAAGAAACTCAGAATTACTATAAAGAAGTAAGAGATTTAATATATATACTTCTCAGAGGCCTGTAGACAAGGCAAACCTTCATGTTTGTTCTCTCTCTCTCTCTCTCTCTCTCTCTCTCTCTCTCTCTCTCTGTCTCTCTCTCCAACTTACGAGTTAGGCTCAAGTAGTGTTAATCATGATGTCTGAGTGAGAAACTATGATTAAAACAATGAAAAATAATTCAGAGTTGTAAATAAGAGCCGGAATAAACAACCTTGGTACTGCTGCTAGGTACTAATCTTCCTTGAGGCTTTGGTTCTTAACCACACGAAGCAGGAACTCCCCTGACTGTATCAGCTCTCTCACAGACACTTACAGAGAAAGAAAGAAAACCAGCAGCACTGGCATGAATCTGTCTTCTCGAGTCGTTTTTGATAACCTTACCAGTAGATCAATGATCATTTTGTTATAATCTGGAAAAGCATGTTATGATTTTTTTCCTGGAAAAGCACATTGTTTCTAAGAGACAAACAAGACATCAGGACTCTATAATACATAATTAGTATGTTAAAGTGATGGCTTCTAAAACATCTCAATGTTCTTTCTCTTTCCTATATATGATTAGCTTAATGTTGATGTATTTTGAGTATCTCAGTACTATACCGACAGGAAACACAAATACATAAAATGGGCCTGCACTTTTTGAGACAGGATCTCACTCCATAGCACAGTCTGGTTTGGAGTTTGCAATCCTCCTGCCTTGGCCTCCTGTGTGCTAGAATTATAAGTTTGCACCACATTCCGTATGGCTTCAAGAAAGTCTTAAGATGGCCAGATTAAAAATTTAGAATCTTATTATTTCCATGATTTAAGATTCTCTTGATACAAGTCAAATGATACATACATATATGCACACATGCATGCATACATACATTAAGGAAGATGCTGTGTGTTCTGTAAAATGTTATAGATGTCATCTGATTGTTTTACATTTAAGAAACAATGATGAACGAAGCTGAAAAGACTTCTCATGAAGAGGAAGAGAGGGAATACAACAGTGAATGTGTGCTCTCTAATTTCTGACTGAAAAGATAGGAAGGACCATTACCTATACCACCCACAATTAGAGGCAGAAAGAGAAGATACTAACTCTGCTGGCAGGATGGGCCAGTAGGTAAAGGACCAGTGTTGATCCTCTGAACCACATGGTTGATGAAGGAACTGACTGCTGCTAGCTGTCCATTGACCTCCACATGCACACCATGGCATGCTTGTTATGTGCACAAGTGCACACACACACACACACACACACACACACACACACACTGAGAGAGAATAAATAAATGTTTTAAAAGAGATAATAGTAACTAAGATTCCATTTACCATTTGTTGAATTCCTTCAAATTCTATTATAGTCTTTGAGATCTTGACATGCTTACTTATTAAGATCATCCAACTAAATCCTGTTTTAACGAAGAGTTCTTTGGATCATATTCATGCTTACATTCATCTATTCATACATTCAATGAATATTAGTTAAGAGATATTTATTGGAAGCTAAGGTGTGGTAAACATTGGGGAGTATATGAAATAAGAGCCTATAAAAATCTTTTTGAACTCAAAGACTTCTTCAATTTCTCAGAAGGATAAAAGCTAGGCAATCAGCAATGATTGATAATAAGAATGACAGGCATAAGGTCTGACACTCTATTTGCAATGTTTTAAGGTCTATATACACTACTTATAAAAGATGATGAAAACAGTCTCTTCCCTTCTTCCAGATTTTATTTTCTTAAACAGCAATTTGTCTTTTATACTGAGTCATTGAAGCAATACACTTCTATAATAGTTTTTGTAGCTTAGAAATTGCTTTGGTCAAACCTAAATACATGATCATCTGTTGTGGAATGTTCTTTTAAGATGTGATACATTTGTTTATGCTGTGGAATATCTGTTTAATGATGCAAAGATGTGTTGCATTCTTTTATGTTGCACTGTTTAACTCTGTGAAGCTGTGATTCTTTGTCTGCCTAATGCACCTGATGGTCTAATAAAGAGCTAAACGGCCAACAGCGAGGCAGGAGAGAATGATAGGTGGGGCTGGCAGGCAGAGAGAACAAACATAAGGAGAAATCTGAGGGAAGAAGAAGAAAGAGATATCAAGTAGCAAGAACAGAAGGGGCCAGCCACCCAGTCAGCCAGCGAGTAAAAGTGAAAGAGTAAGACACACAGAAGTAAGGAAAGGTAAAAGCCCAGGGGCAAAAGATAGATGGGATAATTTAAGTTAAGAAAAGCTGGTTTGAGCCGGGTGGTGGTGGCGCACGACTTTAATCCCAGCACTTGGGAGGCAGAGGCAGGCGGATCTCTGTGAGTTCGAGACCAGCCTGGTTTACAGAGCTAGTTCCAGGACAGGCTCCAAAACCACAGAGAAACCCCTGTCTCAAAAAACCAAAAAAAAAAAAAAAAAAAAAGAAAGAAAGAAAGAAAAGCTGGTTTGGAATAAGCCAAGCTAAGATTGGGCATTTATAAGAAAGAATAAGACTGCATGTGTGATTTATTTGGGGGCTGGTTGCTGTTTTCTCCTCCCCCCCAAAAAAAACCCAAAAGAGTAAGAAGAGCAAAACAACCACCAACAGCTGTTCTAGCTGTAAGAGGTGTAAAATGCTCTTTCTACTTCCCCTTTTTCCTCATTTCTCCAAAAAAAAAAAAAAAAAAAAAAAACCACTCTGAAGAATGGTCACTGGAAAGATAAGAGAACAGATTTTGGAGAGAAATATTCTCTCTTGAATGTTTCTCTTGCAGTTGGGTTAAAGCATTTTATATATATTTTTTAACTTAAACTGTCAGGTATAAAATAGGGACACAAACATCCTAACCATGGGAGAGGGTTGAAGGGGATGGGAGGGGAGAGGAAAGGAGGGAAGCAGAGAAAAATGTATAGCTCAATAAAATCAATAAAAAAAGAAAATTGAAATGCAACTCCAACAGCAGCCTATGGTATCTATTAAGGGTCTATCTGTGAATTTACAGGCTCATATCAAGCAGAGAGAAGTTGGATGCCCTGCTGGTACATCTACAGCTTTCAAATTAGCACACACATTTCTGAAGTATCCGAAGTAAAGAAAAATCAGGATTTTTGGAAAGAAATTAATAGTAAGAAATTGTTTATATTCTAAGAAATAGGGGAACAAATGAGAAGCAGATGGCCGTCATGATATAAACAAAAATATACATCCAGGTTAGAAAGTGGGAGGAGAAAGGTTTGCTGGACTTCCCTAGACATAGCTGTGGGTGTGATGTGCATTATAAAAATGACTGGAGAAGATGTCACGCCACGGTGCATTAGTCCACTTTATAAACATTTAGAAGAGCACATCCATTCATGGGAAGCAGCTCCTAGGGATGGGCGATGTGGAGGATGGGGAGTGACTGCTGACTTGGAAGAGGAGTCTTTGGAGACCACCACAGTGTTCTGAAACTACACAGAGGCAGTGGTTGGTCGCACTGTGAATATACTAAGTACCATTTGATTTTTACATTAAAATTGGGGAGAAAGAAGTAGGACTTCTCCTGTCAGTTTGGATACTCGCATGCCACAACTACAAAATAGGTACTGGGCTACATGTACCTGGGAGGCAAGGCTGCTGCTGCTGAGGTGTGTTACATGGCTCTGGAGGAACAGGCTCTTCTTCAGAAACATACTTCAAAAGCTCCTTTCCAAGGTATGTTACCTGTGGAGTTGAAAATGGAATTTAAAAATCATATATTCTATAAGAGGCAAATATACTTATTTAATGAAAAAGTGTGATTTTTTGTAAACTATTTATTGTTTCATAATATCACAGATCACAGCCATGTCTAACCCGCCCCCTTTATTTTTATGAAAATATTTTGTTGGGATATAGTTCTCACTCATCTGCTTAACATCTCTGGCTTCTTTGGAGCAGCTAGGAGAGAGTTAAGCTCTTGTGGCAGAAATCATGTGTCGGTGAAGCCTGACTATCATCACTATCTGCTCCTGTACAGAAAAAAGTCTGTCAACCTTTGTTGACCACCAATTCTCTCATCACTCACGAATGTACAGCAGCCAGTAATCTAGTACCCACTGCTTTATAACCTAAAAATGATCATTATAATAAAACCAAACCATGAAACTGATGGAAGTTTTCAAGAAATGAGATAGCTAATTGATCACATTAATAACATTTAGGTCTATATGTACTTTTAAAAAGGTGCTTGTGAATTTAGCTATTATTGACCTCCAGAGCAGTAAGACAAGAAATCTGTTCTGTTAAGTTCCCATACTTTTGATAACTTGTTACAATAGCAAAAGAAAATTGATAAAAGGCCAATACTTTCATTCATAGAATGTAATTTCAACCTAGAAATATGTCCATAATCAATAAAAAATATATCATTAAAAAAATTAACGTGTTATCAACTTAAAAGCTCAGGGCTTTAAAATATCTGTGTGTAAAAGGAAGGGCAGAGGCAGACTCATGCATATCTATCTACTCTCAGCTAGGACACTCTTATAATTCACTCCCAGAGGGTAGGTTCATGTGGACAGTGTGTCAGGTTTCAATATGAACATTCTTCTCTCTAAGCACATTTTTGAAACTTCTAAACTTAAGAATGATACCCACATCGGCCTTATATAACTTCTGTGCTCCTGTTTCTGTCACAGCAACCATTTCATTTAAATGAGCTAATGTGTCTTGCTTCCATTCAATCATGAGCTTTTTGAGGACATGGTCTGTGCCATATGCATTTTTATACCCTTAGATGTCACATAGTGCTGGCTGTTATGGAATGAAAGACGCTTAAGTTTCAATTCTTAAGAATGGCTCTTAAATCTGTATCTCAGTTTGTTTTTAAAGAATTATATGCAGCTTATTAAGTTAGGATTGAAAGAGATAATATCCAGCAAACATTTGACATGGTTGCTTGTATATCCTGAGTGCTCAATAATTATTCTTATTAAATTATAAAATAATAATTCTTATTAAATTGAACAGAGTGACCCACAGGTAGATCTGTAAGGTGAAGGGACCCTGTGGGCTCAACTCATAGAGCTAAGTCTGAAGGTGAAAATGGGACATATTGGACCTCTCCAGGGTGCCAACCCCTTCTTTCTTGTCACAGAGTGAACAGGTCCTTAATTATCCATCAGTTTTCAAAGAAGCAATATTAGAAACAATGGATCTTATATTTTTAATGTCCTGGAAATGTCCAACATACTTTACACTCACCAAAGAGCAGGCTGAGTATGTTTGCTCTTGCACCTCAGACGAAACCACCATTTCTACCAGAAGTGCTGGGTAATGCTAAGGTGGTAGCTAATGTGAAGTGGCAAACACAAATGCTGCAAGTGATTAAAACATGCAAAACCCCACAGCTTTATACACGGAACTAAATAATAGTGGAAAAAATAGTGCATACTTAAAATCCCAGGACTTGAGAGGCAGAGGAGGAGGATCACTGTCAAGTTCAAAGACAGTCTGCCCTACATGTGAATTCCAGTCTAGTCTATGCTGCACAGTGAGGGCCTACCTCAACAAACAAAACCCCAAAATGGAAACAATCAAAAAATACACTAAATTAAAAACCTATTTTTTTTAAATTAAGACTTTCATTTTATAGATGTTAAGTAAATTAAATCTTGTAGTTAGTTTCTCAAAAATTTCTGACAGGATATAGTGTAAGTGGAGACAGAACTGATACGTGTACTTCTCAGATTCAACAGCTGATTTGTCTCTAAAAAAAGACTTGTGTATGACGGGCAGGTCCTTAGCTTAAGGCACACTGCACAGTCGGTGCGAAGCCAGGAGGGACTGGTTTTGCATAGCTACATCTCTGGCCATGTAGCCAGAGCAGGAGTTTCATCACTGCACCACTGCCTCTGCCAAAAGGGAGATGGAATCTGAAGCAACCTGGAAACCAGGGACTTTCTTCTACCTGAAATCCTGGGGTAAGATCTAATCGATTGTAATTTTATTACTTAGAGTACATCTTAGGGGGTTTCTTCTGGGGACTCTGGGTTTTGCCTTACACAGTAAAATTTCATTTTTAGATTTTTTAACTATATAACCACTGTTCTTAATTCAAAACTCTTGTCACAAAATTATACTATGTAAATGGAAGATAAAACTTAATGTGACTTGTGTTTTGTACCCAAAAATATCTTCAATAACATTAGCCTGCATTTTGAAATCTAGCTATGGGTCACAGGCTATTCTCAAACATTTCTAATATCTAGTTCATTTAATCCTTATAGAAAACCTATGAGGCTGTACAATGGATTAAATGCTTGCAAGCTTTGCCTGGAAGCACTTTCAGTGTCTCATAGAAAGCTGGGTAATCACTAGGCTTTCTCCCTCCTTCCCTCCCTCCCTCCCTCCCTCCCTCCCTCCCTC